TTCTCCACATTTGGAGCAAGAGTGAACTGGCATATTCTGTTGTTACTACCCTCAGCTCCTCTTTGAATGAGGTAAGCCTGTTAGTCAGGGTCACTGGTTCTCGCCCCATGAAGGCTCTGCATTTCCATCAAGGACTGCCTGTCTCCATCTTCAAAAGCATTATTATCTTTCAGCAAAATTGCCAGCTGCAATGCCAGTTGCTCATTTTCTTCATGAATCTTTTCTCTTGGTCTTTCAGCATGAAAATCTGAACAGTAAACCTCCATTTGTGCCCTAAGGACTGTTATGGTCTCCAGGTCCTCCTCCTGCTTGGTGATAGTCTGCTTCATCTCGTCCACTTGAGGCTGCTTGGAAGTCAGCGCCTTCTCTGCCAGTTCCAGCTTCTCATGTAGTTCCTGCAGCACTACTTTATCTACTTTTTCTGACTCTTTTCTTTTTAGTTCTTCAACTATTTTCAGTGCATTACTGTATTCTTGAAGAAGACTGCTGTGTGTCAACTGTAGAGTGGCTAATTTGGACTTTTCATGTTTTCCATGTGGTGAGGATCTCACAAGCTTTTCAACATAAGGGACGGGAATCATCCCAATCCAGCCGTCCTTGTTCCGGGCACTCCACACCCTGTTCTTCAGCCTTCTCTATTATCACCAGGATCTCTCCCTTTTTAAAGGGCAGGTCTTCAGCATCATTTCCAGGGAAACCATAGAGAGTCTGCACATATTCCAGATTTTCTTCTGCTGTAAGCAGGTTGGGTGCTGATACAGATCTCATTGATGGGCTTGGATACCTGGGTGCAGGCTCGATCAGGGTGGTGATGCCCAGGCAGTGAATCTGGTAGAACTCCGGGCAGGGCCGGTAAATGGTCAAACTCCTGGTCCCCAATCTTAAAATGGCGGTAGGAGAGCAAGTGGATGATGTAGTGGGAGACCTGCGAGTTCTCAGGCATGGACAGCACATAGTCCCCGGGGCAGGTGGAGGAGTCGTGGACTGGGAACATGCCATGGCACTGGCCCAGGAGCCAGGTCTGCGCCTCCTGGTGAGACACCGGCCCCATATACCAGGCGGAGTAGTCTGAGGAGTTGAACTTGAACCTGGTGGAGGACATGGTGCCGGGCCAGGGCTCTGGGGTGGGTCGGGAAGGCAAAGGCACTGATGGTGGAGGGCTGTCTGGCAATTGTGGGTAGAGTGGCTGTGTGGGGATTGGCAGAGCTGCTGGGATGTGCAGCGGTGGGAAGATAGGTTCTTCCTCGGGGTCTCCTTGGTGGATTGTTTTTGCTGGCTCCTCCTTGTTCTTTCCCAAGTTGGTCGGGCCACAAGTACCTTACTCTGTCCCTGCCTATTCATGCAGATCTGGACCCAAGGGGGCACTATAGTGGCAATTTGCAACCATGAGTCTATGTATGGAAACTGGCATGGACGTCTAGGGGTCCTTGTCACTACCCAGTACACAGCTCTCACAGTGGGGAGGTCTAGGGTCCCTTCCGAGGGCCATCCTACCCTGAAGGCAGGCCATTCAAGCTCACAAAGAGCTTTCCCAGGGTCAGTGTGACCCCATAATCCTCTGAGAAGCCTTTCTTAAAATTTTTCAACATACGATTTAAGACTATTGGCTTAGAGGAACCTCCTCCCATATCTACCTTAAGGAATTCCCTAGTAGAGGAAGAAAACAGACCTTAAAATTTCAAGAAAATAACTTGACAGAGGGCCCCTATGTCAAAAGGGCCATTTTACCTCTTTTCTCAAAGTTCTTGACCATTATGGCTTTCCCTGTGTACCCGCCACGCCTCCCACGACAGACAACAATCACGTCACATGGAGGGTTGGGGAATAGGGTCAGGGAAACTTTGGAGGGGACGTCACTTGCTTCGCCCGTCTCTGGCTGCACCCCTTGTGGGGATTTTTCAGGCGCCTCTTAGCACTGGTGGGTCAGTATAAACCCCTGATCTGGATCACTGGAGTAGGCTCCTCACAGAGATCCAGTGACACCACCTTAAGCCATATGAGGTTCACCATGGAACTGCGGATTGGGGCTCAACTCTCGTTTCGTGGCAAGGCTACGTCTCAGTCATTCAGCACTCACTCTCTTTCATACAACCTCCCACCATTCCTTAACCTATCCTCTGGAGAGTAAGCGGTTGCTCCCCTTAACGTGTGGAGGATGCTTGGTTACTCCCTTCGCCCAGTGTTAAATAAACAGATTCCACCTTGTGACGGTGACGCAAAGACAAACAAGGGTGGGTGCCCCCTCCAAAGAGGAGACCATTCAGATGCTCATCTGGCATGTCCCAAAGGAGCTTAGGTGATGCTTAGCCGTAGCAGACTCAGCTACGCTCAACAAGTCTGAAGTACAATCAGGAGCCACTTAGACAGGGACTCGTGCCATTAGGAGATTTCACTGTTTGAACATCATAGAGTGTACTTTCACAAACCCAGATGGTAGAGCCTATTGCTCCCAGGCTATAAGCCTGTATAGCATGTTACTATACAAAACACAGGAGTAAATCAAGCCAAGAGAAATGATGTGATAAAGGAACAGGGTAAATACGAGATGTGTGAGGGTGCTGCTGGCATAATATGGTATACTGTTTTATAGCAAAACTTATTTTGTTTATAAGTAGAAAGGGTACACTCTAAACTAATGATAAAACATATAGTAAATACATAAACCAATAGCATGGTCATTTATTATCATTATCAAGTATTATGTACTGTACATAATTGTATGCGCTATACTTTTCTATATTGGCAGCACAGTAGGTTTGTTTATACTAGCATCACCACAAACATATAGATAATGTGTTGCACTATGACGTTACCACAGCTACAATGTCGCTAGGCAACACAAATTTTTCAGCTCCAATATATGCAGTCCCTCGTTGACCAAAACACCGTTGTGCTACCCGTGACTGTATCTGCCAAACAGCCTGACCAGGTGGCATATACACTTATGAAAGAAAATAGATGGGCTGCCTTCTGTTTTCATGCTCAGTCTTGGCCGGAGTGAAGACAGGACTGAAGAAGACAGATCTCTTCCTGTAGCCCGTCTGTCAGCGTACTAAGTGATGTGCCCTTATCTTTGCAAAGTGTGTGAGGATGAATCGGTTTTATCATCCTTTCCAAAGAATTCATTCACTCACCAAGTATTTATTGTGTTCCTTCTATATGCCAAGCATTGTAAAGAACAACCAAAGCTCCTGCCCTCCTCCCCGACTCCCCGCCGCCTGGCCCGAACTTGTATTCTAGTACAGGGAAATGACCAATCATCGAATAAACTAGTGAACACAGAATATACCAAATGGCAAGAAGTGGAGGAAAAAGCAGCGCAAGGGGGAGAGGGAGTGCTGGAATGGTCTTTGTGGAATTAAGTAACATCGGAGCAGGGACAGGAAGAAGTAATACAGCAAAATCAGGCCAGTATCTGGGGAAGAGTACTTTAGGAAGAGGAAACAGTGTTAAGCCTTTAAGTGTGCTTTAGGTGACCCACTGTCATCTTTTTCAGATGATAAAAGTGAAGCCCATAGGAGGGACACATCTCACCCAAAGTCACCCAGCTAGTTAAATGAAGAAACAGGACTAGAATTCAAGTTAAATGCTTTTTCAATTGCAAACTCAAATTTAATTTTCAGGCTCCTGGACCTCAACCTTTTTAAAACTCTGATCATTGGGCTCCTTTGGTGGGAAAAAGATCCCATGAATCATTTAAGTAGGTGGCAGAGTCAAATGCTACTGCTGAG